AAATAAAATACAATTTTGTCGAATAAAATGTGCTTGTGCACACATCGAATCCACGGATAAAAATAATATAATTCTCATCGAACCTCACCGTACGTTTCGACTTTGTCAACAGTTCTAGAATTCCGGGAAAATTGAAAATACAACTGTTTTAATTAGTACATTGTGGTACGGGCCATTTATCCGCGTGTGATAACAGCCGACCGTAAAAAAACACCCAACGTGTACAGAATGTGTAACAATAGACGGTTCCCGCTATAAATTACCTGTGGTTTCGCCTTAATTGGCTCGCCTATTTTTATAGCGGACCTAGCGATCCGCTCTCGAAGTATTTACAAAGTTAGGGACATACTACTCGTATAGCTAATATTATACATTATCGTGCATTGTGTACGTTGAGAATTTTTTTTTTTTGTATCCGTGACCGAAACCGAACGTTTTTAATCGCTATCTACCATAGTGAACTTTTTTAATACTACAACATTTCGTATAATATTCTTTCTCGTTTCAACCGCTTAGCATTCTCGCCAATAACAAACATCACGTCCTTTAAATATCCCACGGGAAATATAATACAATTTGACGGACCGAATTGACCTATATATTATACAAAACCGTTTTCGGTAAACATTCGTATTTGCATCAAGTAGACAGTATATCATATATTATGGACAGTGTTTCGGCCGCAATTAAAGATTTATCAGTTGTAACGTATCGTGTAGTTTTCTACGCGAAATATAATTTATAATGTCTTACACGAATCGAAGGGAGAACATATTCTATCGTATGTTTTCAACGAATTTCGACGAATTTTTCATTATTTCCTATCATTTATCGTTTTCAATCATAGGCGATTCTTGACATATCCCAAAGGGGAACATGTATATAATTAAATATACACTACATAGTTTACATTCCATCTCCCTCCCCCACATAGTTATGTAGATACATGCGAAGTAATTTAAGGTGTTGTACGTTAAACGTGTTATATATATAATACCGTTTTTGTCCATTGCTGATGTTTAGAAATGTCGTGAATATCATAGAAATTTAACTTAAAACGCTTATAAAAAAATGTTATCTAACGCTCTTCTTTTGCCATTATGAAATAATAATACGATAAACACCGTGTTAAATTTATGAACATTTATCTGGGTCAAAACACTTTATCCGCAAAAAACCAAATAAAAACTAAAAACTCGAAAATTTTATTTTGCCATAAATACCGTCAGAATTTTTTTTAAAATATAACTTTATTAAGATTAGACTAATTTAAGAGTATTTTGTAAAAAACGTTTATTTTTACCATAATCACAACATAAAAAAAAAAAATCGATAATAACGGAAACTGCTACTTTGTAAATTTTCCCGCTGTTCTTACTTTTTCCTCCAAAAATAATTATTAAGAAAACTACAAGGAAAACCAAAAAATGAACTACGTACCTACATAGCATATTATAGTGTTAATCTCCTAAAAGTTAAGTGGGCAGTTATTCAATATTACATGTACCTGGAATACTAGAGTAGTGCACTGTTATAGAACATCTAAATTTCCATTTTTTTTTTTTTTTTTTTTTTTAATACTAATAATTAAAATGGCCGGCTTTTAGAAAACGGAAGTTAAATGTAAAATTATGGGACGTTTCAGAGAAAATACAGTGATTAAAAACTACGATGCCCATCTATAAACGTAAATTGGTGTGATAATAACGAACTTATTTTTATACTGTTCTTATGATTGTCTATTCTGCGTTATCATCAACAATATTTCCGATCTTGCAGTGTGACCAAATAAAATAAAATTTTTAACTGCGGTCTTTAGTGATACGTACCAAGCGTGTTTTAGTTACCGCATAAAAGTATTTTACGTGTAAACGCCTGTTTATAAATGCGTCTAAAATCGTAAATCATTTTTATTTTCGTTTACAAATATATCTTGAGTATATTAGTAGATACAGCGAGTGTATCCTCTGATCGGACCAACGAGAACCGAAAACCTCGCATTGTGCTCCGGAAAATGTGTGCTGTTCCGGGGTATTGGAAAACATACACGATGGGGGGGGGGACAATCAACTCATCGCCCTCTCCAATCCCCTTGTAAAACCGACAGTTATCGCATTAACCGACATGTAATCTGCTCGACGCTTTATCGGCTGTCGATTCGTTTTCCGCACGAGAAGTTATCGTTTCGGTTATCGTACAGACACGGACATATCAAGCGCGCGCTTTCAAAGTCTCGATGATTTTCAAGAACCTTTACCACGAGGGCGTGTTATTAGATGCTCGATTTATAATATTTGTGCAATCGAGGAAACAGAGATTAAACGTACGTCGTGCCCGCATCGGAAGAAACGTGAAGTTTATTTTTCGACGCACAATATTATAATTTACATGCGCAGTCTCGCCGGTTTATTATGACAGAAACAACGTTAGATCCGTTCGCGATTCCGCGGAACTTATGTATAATAAGTAAGTGAATAATTTTATTGGTTTCCGCGGTCGGCGTCGTGTTATTTATTTTTTTTTTTTTTTATATACACGCAACACGAGAAACAATTTACATAAATTTAATACTCAGAACGGGCAACGGTAACGACGATAATAAAGTACGGGCTGTACACTCATAATGTACGTGGAATCGACGATTAAACCGCGAAACGCCGCGGCGGTGACGAGGACGTACAAATTATAAATAAAATAAAAAATAAAAAGAAAAAAAACCCATCAGAACGCCGGAACCATTTACTCGTCGTAAATATTTTTTGCCCGCTTACTTTCCAGCGGATAAGTATATCTGTATAGGCGCTACCTGTACAATTCGATTACGGTTTGGCGTGACAAGAGGGAATACACCGCGAGTTAAAAATTTTACGTATAATAATAATAAAAGCAATAACTATGTTGACGAAACTTTCGTTAACCGTTTCGATTGGCCGAACGTGCGCGGTTAAATAAAAGAACCTCCGAAGAGCCAATTCCTCGAAACTGTACTGTAGCAGTACCTACGGGCGATTAATTCATCATGATTCGGCTTTTTTATTGGACGCGCGTTTGATTGTTCTTATAAATCTGCGTAGATACGATTTATTTTATTCCTAGTGGGTACTTCCCTGATAATGGGCATTTCAAACTATGACGAGAGCAGCTAAAACTATTTATAATGAAAATCGGTTCTGAACAAAGTGTTGCGAGTCGTATTTTACTTTTGTTGCCAACGTAACTCGGAATTCAACATAAATTATAATAAAACAAATGACCAGTTTTTTGGTTTTTTTTTTTTTTTTTTATGATACCACTGGTCAGACTTCTACTATACAATTTAATACAAAATCACCACAATTCTCTCACTGCCTAAATCAAAAATGCTACAAAAAGTTCCGATAAAGTTTTTGATTGGACCAAGGTCGCTAGTAGACAAGTAATTTACGGCCACCGAAAAGAAAAGAAACCTCATATCAAAACCAATACATTTCTCGAGTTACTCAGAAACTAAAAAAACAAAAATCAAATTCATATAATGTCCTGGACAATTGGATCGCTGAATCGTGGCAAAATCCGTGAAGCACCCTGTACCGTGTGTATAGATACACCACGGTTTGTATTCGCTGTGTTTGTCGTAAAAAACATTCAATGAATATCATTATTATCATCACCGCGTGTTTTAGTATTCACGGTTATGCCGCGGCCGCACAATATAATACAATAATAACGTTTCTCTGTCAACTGTACATTTTATTATTACTATTATTATTATTATTATTATTTTTTTTTTGTACATTTATTTTATTTGTTAGCAATATTATTATTTTACATTACAATAAAACCTCTGTAACCACGCAACAATAATAAGCTCGCCGGGCCAAATTAAATGCCAAAGCTATAACGAAATATACCACCCTTTACGTATTATTTGTTATGAAATAAATGCACGACGAAAGAGCGGGCTGTATTTTAATATTCGCACGGATTCTCTTTGTCGATTCCGAACCACTCATTAACCGTTATATTAGATTGTTAATTTATTTGATTACTAGGTAGGTATACTGGTTGGTCGATTGGAAATACACAAAACGAAATAATAAAAACCGTTATCAATAAACAGTCGCCCGATTCATTATCATTCATCTTGCGCGAGGCGGTTATTGTGCCTTTGTATTTTTCGCCGGTGTTGTAGTGGCTACTAAATCAATATACAGTGTTACCTTATGCGGTATCTGTGTAAAGAGACAAAGGCGTTTGTCAAGAATACATTATAACGGTTTCTCTCTTCGGCCCGTACAAATTGCATTATCATTAGCGAGAAAGCTCTCTAACTACATTATTTTCCTTGAGCATACACAAAACCCGTGCACCCCGGTATCACGTGTTCTAATCATTTTTCGCAATAACACAATCACTGATAACGGCCAATCGGGCGCGATGTCCAAAAACTGTGTGACACGGTCGTTAATGTACGTGCGTTCAATTGTAACGGACCACGGTTGGTAGTTGTTGCACAAACATTCAAACGCGAAAGTAGGTTACACAAATTTTAAATTCGTTTATTTAATAAATACATTGTACATTGGTGTGTTTACAATATCTTAAAAAGTAACGGTGCGCGGGATTTGGGATGTCTGAAGGCTTACAAGTAAGGGATCACGAAGGTATAACAATATTTGCGGTTGTTCGGTATGCGATACAGATATACTCGTAAGGGGTTTATATAGAGGACGAGACACAAGGTAACGTATAACGGCGCGGTGATATACAAGGGTTTATTTAATTAGGGGTTTTGTATATCGTGTCTGGGGAATTTGAAAATGGAACGCGAATGCGGGAGTAGGTATAAAACTGCGGAGCCGGACGGCGTGATAAGCGTAGACCGGAGTAAGTACTTTCTTACAGAGCCGGACAACTTGGAGAGGAGACGTGTGATCCGAAGTAGGTATTTAGCCTACGGAGCCGGACAACTTGGAAGGAGTGACGAGCGTTTCGGGAAGAAAAGGTGACTAACGTATTTCTTACTTATTAACGGCGAGTCCGTAAATGGCGGCTGGTTGTTGTTGTTGTTGTACGTTCGGACGTTCCGCTGTGGCCGGTCGAGGTTTGCCTCGGTCGGTAATCGCAGGTATTCCGTCAGGTGTTGACCGGCGGAGTGAGATCCGCGTGAACCGCGTACGGCGTCGGCGAGACAGACTCGCCCTTTCGTACGGTGTGCCCGGTTCGCTTGATAACGCGCCTTTGTCTAGTTGCCGCGTTTGTCCGTAGAGCGTACCGTTATCACGGCGTTGCAGGCGGTGACGTATTTTCGGTTGTGCCTTTATTTCGCGGCCCTGTGTCCGCATGTATTTTTGCGGAAAAAAAGGCTTAAAGTGTAGAAGAATAAAAAAAATTACTGTTTGTACCAGTCCGATGTATACGGACCGGGCGAAATATGCGTGCGTATCGTTTTACTCTCTGTATTAGTAATTGACGGCATAATTACCTTATCCCCTGTAGTGTTATTGGACGATACAATTAAATAGTTTCTAGCGGTTTTACGGCCTTAATAAAAAACGACGTGGAATTTGTCATTTAATTTGGCAAATGTAATAAAATTATTTTTGGAAATTTCGCGTTCGCTACACATCTATTTAAGAGTACGGTATAATAGTTACCTTTTGCAGTTGTAATATTAACGGTCGACTCTGCGACTGCCGCGGTCTAAATTTTTACATTCGAATATTTTTGGTTTTTATGACTTTTCAAGTTCGTGGCGCAGCTTCTCTCGGTTCGTACGATAGAGACAATATTTGCCTCGGAAATATTTCATACGCTGTTATTAGTGCACTCCAGTAGACGTATATAAAATAATAACCATATTATATAGTAATTTTATTACTCACGGCCACCACAGCGACGACGATGCTGTCGGTAAATCCCCGGCCCTTTGAGATGTTGTCACCTCCCCCCCGTTCCTCCCTTCCACATACCTGACCCACGGGTATAGTACACCGCCTGCAGTAATTGTGTTTGCCGTTAGACAATAAAGACGGTATACTGATATTAGTTCACCCCGCCCTGGTCCGGACCGGAAGATACCGGCGGCGGTTAGATGCGGTGCGGCGACGCAGCCGCGGATGATTTTCGTCCAAAAGACGAACTTCCGCCTCTGACAACCAAGAAGTACTTTGCGAATGTTCTATACGAAAAATGAATAGTAATAATAATAATACACGCGTAAGTGCGCTCGGTCGGACATAAACGAAAAACAAAGGGGCGTAATCGCGTTTCGAGAATCCGTAATGTTATTCTCACCGTTCTCGGGATAATAATTTGTCGTTAATTTTTTTATAACCGCTGCTGCGCATTTCCATTATGTTTATTTCGGAAATTTAATTCGACGGGTACAATATACTGGCGTTTTTTTTTTTTTTGTACAAACCAATAATAACCGTTCGCCAAATTCGACAAGGATAACATTGCGCGCAATTAATAATTCGAAATGTTCACATGCCGTTATAAAATGTTTCGATCGGTTTAATAACTAGCGTCGCGATACGACGGTCGAATAATAATAATGTGTCCGCTTCGGGAAAAAAAAAAAAAAAAAAAAACAAACAAACCTAATTTATCGAGTTGCGGTATAATGTATACTGCTGGGACGGACGGCCGTCGAGAGACGAGACGCGGCACGCGTTATCGCGTATTATAAACTTTTGTTCCGGGGTTAACAAATCTCCGAGAAAACAAACGCATAATATTATTGCGTTCCGGGCTCCTTCCGCCTTCCGCCGATACCGCGCTCCGTTCGCTTCTCACCCCCCTCCCCCGCCCCCTCCCCGTCAATCGCCAAATCCGAGCGTCGCGCCGTATTATGTGCACGCGTACAATAACGGCCTTTACAACGTGCGCCGCGCGAAACTGACCGTCCCCGTCCGGTAACGACGTCCGCGATGTATTTCCATGTGTTGTTTTTGTCATTTCGCTTTTCCGCGTTTCTCGAATCGATCCGATTTCGAAACGGCTTTTCCCGTCGCGGCGCCGTCGCCGTCGTGTACGCAACGCGTCGGTATTATTGCCCGTAATATTGCGCGAGCGTAGTTCGGGCGCGCACCGAGTTCGCCTTTGTTTCTCGGTCGCGTTTCGCGCCGTTCGTTTACGATCATTTTTTGTGTTTTCCGTTCTACGCGCATTTCTCGATTTACCATCTCGGGTACCACGTGACTTGGCGGGCGTTTCCCGGTAACGTTGTCACGCGGACGTAATTATCGGGCGCCAGGCGAGGCGGTCTACCCCACGATACCGTAAATAATCCGTCGAGAATTCGTCAGATCCGCACGCTCCAAAAGAGGCGATTTCATCATATCTTATGTTCTTGTCGTAAAACTGTTAATACGACTTAATAGAGTGCCGTACAGCAATGTTTACCGCATCTGTCTAATCGACCGGACAATACACTACACCTACAGCGACAATTTGTTTCCGTACCGATCGACCTGAAACAAAAACGATTTCATCAAATTCGCAAACGTTTTCGGATAAACACAAATAGAAAGCGAAATTAAATATTGTATTAAACATTTTTCGATTTTTTTTTACACTAACGTCACTCTTTATAAATATTGACCGTAAACACCTTTTTAATGGGACTCAAAACTTGGTGTACCAGGGCGATTGATCCCTTGAGCTCCCTTGAATATGTCACTGAATTAGTACGTCGCAAATATTTCGTTCGTACTTACGGGCTAAACATATATTATCGAAAATTCGAAACAATTATTGCCGTCCGGTTATGATATTACCACCAGTGTTATATTTTATTCGTTTACAAGTTGTACAGTGTACAACTGCTATAATTCCCAAAGGGCGATAAATAAAATATTATTTTAACTATCATTGGTACCTATATACGTGCCCGTTAATAACATATAATAACGAATGATTATAAATCGTCTTGTCCGAAATTTTTAAATGATAATATTGTACGCAATTGCAAATTACAAAATAACAGGCGATTTCATTTAAATTATTACACTTTCATATCGCATAGACACAAATATTACGAGAACGATATTTTTAGGTTTCGTTTTTTTTTTTTTTTGTATTTTGGGTCAATTCATACATAATTTTTTTTGTGCGGCACGAAAATAACGTTCAACTAGATAGGTCCGGTGATTTTCCCAGTAATAAAATAATAATAATATCGATAATATCCACGTCCTTGTCATTCGAAATAATTGGTAACCGTAACTACGTACCAGTTAATACGGACGGACGGACACAACAGGGATACAATATGATATTAAGATAAAATTTTGTTTAGAAACCAAAAGCGCTATGAAACGTTTATGATAAAAATTAAAAATAACTACTGGCAACGGGTCATGGACCGAGCGTCATCCCTAGCTACGCCACTGTCGAGGTTAGGTCGGGTACCTACTGCACAGTTTATCTCTTAACAAAAACATAATACTTTCTAATTGTTAACGTTTCGTCAAAAACAGCGAAAACACATTCATCACTTTCCGTATACACACACACACATACATACATATTTTAAAAGGACACACGCAGCGCACGAGTAGTATGCGTGCGTAATATGATTTTATGTGCCCGTGTCATTGTCTCGGACATAACAATAATATATTAACATAGGTACATGTGACTTTACGAAAATGTGGGTCCATTGTTGTACATAATTTAAATGAAACGGTTCGTTATTTGAAATTAAACACAATATCCGCGCGGTACATACACGGGAGTGTGACACGAAAAACGAACACGAAATTGTAAAACATTTCTATAGCGCCGGGCTTAGGCCGTAAGCCGAAGGAGCGTGGCGACACATCGGTCCCGATTTGAAAAGGCCTCGCGCGTATAATTTATACGAATTGTCGCGAAAACGTGAACGGCGCGAAACGTACGCCGTATAGGTTGTCCGCGGGTTATCGCTGTGAACCGCGCAGTGTTCTATCGCGCAATATAAATACGTACCGATACAAACGCGTTTCCCGTGTCGTTCACCAAAACGCCCGACAGTTCGATATCGACTAAATCGATTCGGCACCGATCTCGCAGTATAGCCGCGGGAATCTTTGCACGTGGACGCGATCGCGAATGCCGTTGTGTCGTGACAGTTTCGTTCCGCGCCGGTCCGTCTTGTAATCGCCGTCGCGTCGACCGCCATCGCGTCCGTCGATAATTCGGCACCGGCCGGGAAATTTAAAAACGCAGAAATGAGAAAAAAAAAAACGTCAGGGTACTGTCCGTTCGGGGGGTATACGCGCGGCGGCGCGCTTGCGTACGGTCGTTATGGCGCCGTCGATCTCGCTATTATACGCACGATATCGTACACGGCGGCGGTAATAATTATTGGCTAAACGTGTAAAAAAAAAAAAAAAACAACTGCCCTTTCTTTCACACCGTGTTTTCGCAGATCGTAATGACAATGGCGATGCGAACGCGATAACATCGCGCGGCGCCCGAAGAAATCCGACGCGTCCTTCCGTTATGGCGGCGGCGTTAATATCGACAGACGGCCGTTATGGTACCGGGCGAACGGTAAAGCGGATAGACGAAAGTGTTATTATTGCGCGTTGTTTGTCGAAACGCGCGTCGATAGTTCACGCAAACAAAACGATCGTATTATTAAATAGTTATTGATTTTTGTTTTTTTTTTTTTTTTTTTTTTTTGTTTTTAAACTCGTCGAAACGCCAACTCGTAATAATAGTAATAATGATAAAATATACGTAGAAATCTGATACCTGCGAACGAAACGAGAATAATATTCGCTTGTTTACGAGATATTAGCGCGATAATAATAATAAAAAACAAAAAAAAAATCAAATAAAAATCAAATCTAAACGATTCGACGTGGAACACGTATACACACATAGGTGTAGTATTTACGGATGAAATGTTTCGGAATTTATTTGCGCACGATACTATACACGCGTACGTAAACATACATAATATTGTTAAGTGTCGCGTATATCTACACCTATATTTATATTATGAAAATATATTATATACTTAACGTCGTATTCGATGAATAATAAAAAGCAATTTATTTTATTTTTCGCGCGCGCCCCGTATCGTGTAACGGAGTAAAAAATATGTTTTCCGTGATGGTAATAACAATAATAATAATAATAATAATAATAACACACCATCGTGCATAAGATAATAATAACGCGACGTGGCCGATGCGTGTAAAATAATATTATTTAGGGTAAATATCATTTCTTCCCGTGTAAAAAGGAACATAAAATCAAACGCGAAAACAAAAGCGCCGGCAGTTACCGACGGTTACGTTTTTAATTTAGTACCGACGCGTTAAATAAATACCAACGAATTACCCTT